TCAAAACGCCTGCCATTTGAAATAAATAAATAAATATTACAAAAAGGGTAGAATTCGGCTTACTTGTTGAGTTTCGAGAGGATCCACGGTTCTAACACGATAAACAACATTTCCCTGATTGTCAATCCTTTCAACCTGCAATATGGAAGAAAAATAATACTGAAAAGTTTTGAAATAGGAAAAAAAACAAAAAGCATAAAAAGGTAAAAAATACTTTCATTCATTACCAAGTTTTATGGTTACAAATAAAAACCACATTTTATTCATTAATTACACCTTTTAATAACTGTAATTACCAACCAACTGCTCATTAACAATAAAGAACTGCTTTTTGAAAATTCATGAATATCCGAATGAAATTGTATACACGTCCAGGAAGAATCACCGTCCAGTGTAATTGCCCACTATAGAGTCTTCAAAAGAATAATAATTATAAATGGCTCAGATAATCTATAGGACAAAATGAGACCGATTCCTCATTTTCAGAACTGAACTTTTTAAACTTCAGCCATTTATCTTGTGGAGCGAACAACACTGTCATCTCTTCGTTATCTAACAGTAGTCCGTCATTTTGATCCAATGTAATAAATGAAAGCGACCAAGTTAAATAAATCTTTTAAGTGTGAAATGCAATACATCTCTGAGTCTCTCTGAGTAAGAAGTTGTCATTTACTATAACTGCATCGAGGGCTTACAAAATGAAGTAAGGCTCTATTGTAAGCAAACAACATGTAGCCCCATTTCGGCTCATGTTAAGTTGTTTGTAACCTTAACCTTAGGCCTACCTTAGTAAATGAAAATTCCTCTTTGTTATTGTCACGCTCGCAAGTCAACCTATTTATAACACGTAGAAAGAGAAACAAATACCAGTATTGGGTAAATTTGAGCTCAAAGCACTGTCATTTACAAGTGAGAGACAATGTATAGAATTTAAAAATTTTACGTAGTATCCATAAATTACGTCAAATTTAGTTGTGAAGAATATTGCCAAATATAAATCTAACAAGCACCTTAACCTACCCATAGAAAACAAAATATTAGTAGAACCAAGTGATCATCATTGAAAAAAATAAAGCCTAACATTCAATTTAAGTAAATTAAAATATATAGACCAACACATTAGGTGTTTGATAACTGCTAATAAGGAAGAAATTTGACATACCTTCAGACCTTTCACTCGTAAAGCACCAAAAATTCCCTCCAAGTGTTCATTTTCGCCCAGTGATATCATCTCCTCCTTTTCTTTCTCCAGGGCATCAAAAGCTACTGGTCTAAGAGGTGTGTCCTTGTCCTCTGGTACGCAGGTGATGGGATTCGAATGCAACTTGTGGGACTACAAGTTAAGGACCATTATGTTAGATTCGACAGGCAGATAACGATAACTAAGTTTAGCATGCTTACATTATACCGAGGAGATGAACAGAGATGTCGAGTAAAAACAATGAGCTGGTAGACACATGTCTCTAGCTCACTTATCTGGAAGAGTTCACCATCGGATTCCTCAAGACAAACATACGCTACGATAGCTTTGCGTGGAAGCCCTGTCAAATCGCACCCTGTTCCATCCACATATTCGACTTGATAATAGGCGAAGTCCCGACCATTGATATGAATAGACTTCTGAAAGCATGAAGACAACCGGTTGAAGCTAACTCAATTTTCATGGAATTGGACATGACTGAGGTGTCTGAGTTAGTTTTTGGAAAGCATACTAATAAACGAAATAGGTACAGATTCCAATGCCCCACCTTATCAATCAGCAGAGTTGAGATCAGAGAGTGTAAAATGGTAATAAGCGTCAGATACACACCGTTGCCCATCAAACTGCAGTATTGGAAAATATTTACTAGCTATTAAAACCCTACATTCGGACCCATCTAATGCCTAGTCTCTAGTATAGCCAATTCCACCAAATATCTCCAATTTAAAGCTATCGATATAGACACTGATACCAACCTACTTGGAGGAGAGCCAAGTTATCAGCAAAGCATTATTCTGATCTATATTTTCTCCCATCATTTTCCGCAGGTCCTGGTCTAATGAAACTAGTCTTACGCTTCTGCAATTGGTAGTGCTTCAAGTAATCTTCCTCTGAGGTACTAGGAGGCAGATACGTGCAATGAAGACACAAAAGGGAATTTTGCTCATACCGGTTCAGAATTCTCTAAATTCTCATGTTTCTCCGCCGTCTCCTCCTCCCCGGATTCATTCTCCTTTTCACTTAATTGCGTTTTGGGTTCAGATGCGCGACCAAGATAGAACTCTTTGATGATGCGAGTAGTTTTCGGGCCAGAACCCTCGGCACGAAATTGACGAATGTGTTTACCATGGCACAACTCATAGGTCCAGTATCCTTCGACTTTATAAAGGCATGGATTGGTTTCAAAGAAGTCAGCGAGTATTAAATGAGGATGGTTATCAGAATCCGGAGAAAGTGAGATATGTTTATTTTTAGTCACAGTTGGGAGGTGGCATATGTAAGTCTCATTGTTAGGAGTTTTTATAAGCAAAGGAGAAGTATCATCTAACTGAAAAGTAAAATTGAAGGTAAACTCCTAATGAAACAATAAAGTGCACTCGTATTTCGTTCACCTTTGTATTCGATTTCGTTTGCCACACTAAAGAATAAATAAAATCATCACTGACATCAAAGCTTCCCAGCGAGATTGGTGGGGCGAGAACGAGCAAAAGAAATGCGAAGTAAGTATGCATCCTTCTAAATGAAATAAATTTATTCGACATAAAATATTTCATTGATAGGGTAAAAACATTGAATTTTACTGACAGTAAGTTACCAGTATATACAAGTTCAACGCCTAACTAATAAATATAAAGTAACAAGAAATTAGAAGGAGAATATTTTATCTTGGAAATTCACCTCAATTAATAATAATTATTGGGAAAAACAATACTTATTAAAAAGGCCTACGAGGCCAACATTAATTAAACCTTTAAGGTCAACCTGTGCTGTCGAATGCCAATAAAATTTAGTGAGGTATTAAAATAAAGATAATTATTCATAAATAAAATATGCTAGCGTTCCGTCAAAGATAATTCTTCACTTCAGATTATTAGTGTAACAATTGACGCAAATAATGTGAATAAAACCAGTTTTCTGTTTGATTTCTTCTTCCGTCCTCTGCCCAAATTGCCTTTTCGTATTATTTGCTGCTCGAAGTACCCTGCGAATTCTTCATTTCATTAACTATCCGAAATTAAAATAAATAATTTACTTTTCATCCGTAATGGGTAATATTTCTTATTTTAAACTTCTTTTGTTATTGTCAGCTTACAGTATTATACTATTCTCAACTTAGCTAGTCTTCCCATTTCGAGACTTTCCTATTTTCATTCAACCGACAATAAGCCCTCCACGAGCTTTCCCGAATAATTATTTGAATATCTATGATTATAACTGTCATCTAGTAAATATAATCTATTACGTTCACTCTATATTTTTATTCTCAGCAAATTGAAAAAATAAATGAATAAATCATTTTATTCATTTGAAGCAATACTAGAATTACTCATCCAATCCATAAGAATAACTTCAGAAAAATATAACGATACTTATGTTTAAAGATACACCTGAATTAACACTGATTAAACCCTTTATACTTTCGATGTCAAATCTATGCAAACATTGCGAGACCACACTCCCAGGTGCTATAGAAAATAGGACTTAACTATCATTGTCCCAATAGCCTGTGACTTTTATATATTTTAAGGGATTACTATATGAATAGGCCTTGACTAACCTTCACCCATCTCTATCGCAAAAAATCCCTTAGTATGAAATGTCATGAGGTTAGAAAGGGTACCTCAAAAGTATTTAGGAAACAGAGCATATGTCGTGAATAACGTTTATTAAGTTTGTCTCTGACACAGAACTTGGTCATTAGAATACGATTAAGGGTTGTTAATCAATACAGCAGCTATTGATTGGTGGTTGGGTGAGCCTTCTATGCTCCGCCATGGCAGCGTTTTGCACTCGTAATATTAAGTCATCGTAAAATGAAGTGATCAATATTTTAACGATTTGCAGACTACTCTTATTAATGGTTCTCTTGTTGCCTAATTCATCTAAAGGTCCTACCCAGACTATGAATATTAGAACTTTGTTTTGAACCTTTCAACAGAATTTGCAGCCCCTTTCTATTTACAACGACCTCGATCTTACTGAGTCAACACGGACATGCAACAACACTGGAAAGTTTTCAATTGATTTTTAATAACATAAAGCATTTGACACCAGTTCTATATTCAAAGATTTCAAGCTAGAACTGATGAGGAATCCACTATTAAAATAGAAATATTTCTGTTATTCAATGATGATATAAAAATCGGATATTACCAAAACCTCAATTTCATTAACACGGGATGTGCGATAGACTTACCTCCACGTGGAGCACGTGGTCTAAACCGGCAGTTAACTTCTGACTTCAAACTACCATGGCCCGACTGCACGTCATACTCGACCCTCCACAGTAATTATCTTACCTATTCTCTGCCTTTGTATCTGTCTGTCTCCTTTAAATCTCTGAACCATTATTCTGTCCCCCTCTCGTCATTTTGTCACTTTGATGCTCCTCCTCCCATCTATGAAGCCCGAATTCAGCTAAAGGGCTAATGATAACCATCAAAACGTCTGCCATTCGAAACAAATAAATAATTTCATTAACACATATAACAATTTCTTAGCAAAATGACCTCCACTGAGTTAGAAGCCTGCCATTCACCATACTTTCAGTTCATGATTGGATGTCCCTTAATCTCAATTGATTCTGTTCAAATATATCGACTATTTAATCATTACCAAGAGACAAATCGTCCACGAACTTCATTTTAGTGTTTTACAACATTTAACGAGGTTCTTCCATTTATAAAGAAAATACCAGACTACTTTAAACATCAAAAGGCACTATGTGTACATTAACGACATTTATATAACAAGTTTAGATACTTTATGTGCAATCGTTAAATGCGTCCACGTGAGTAAATGTGTGCAGAGACTGAAAATTTCTGGAGGCAGCTAAAAAAGGCGGAATGATCAAGCCCCAAACAGGTCTATTTGAGGAACTTGCTTTCGTGCTCAGCCAAAATTTTTGCCGACTGTTTTGCATTTAGGAACAAGGAGTCCGTCTCATCAATATGCTCAGGTTTGATTTCTTCACTCTCAGTCAATTGGGCAAGCTTTGACGCTGGTGTCAGTAATTGAATTCCAAATCTACAATCAATAAAGTGCCAGTAAGTTAATTTCTAAAAAGCCAACATAGTCAACTCTATCTTCAATCGATATGGGGTGCGCGAGACTTACCTCATCGTGGTGTACTCTGGGCAACGTATACTCATACGTAAGTCTACAAACCGACAGTTGATTTCTTGCTTCAAACTACCATGGCCCCACTGTATGAGATATTTGACCACTTATACAGTACTTACCTTTCCTTTTTCTTTATCTTAGTGTCTGTCTCTTTTGCATTAGAATCACTCTTCTGTCCCCCCCCCCCATTCCTCTTCGATTTTTGGGAATCCCAAAGTCAACTAAAGGGCTAATGATAACTACCGTAAAGCCTACCATTTGATATAAATAAATATTTAAACCACAGATGAACACAGACATACGTAAAGCAATAAAAGATTTAATACGATAAAAGAAATGAGAAGAGAATGGTGATATACCTTAAAGTCGAGTCATAAGCAATAGTAGCAAGACGTTGAAACGCTTCCTCAGAAACCTTAAGTCGTTCCGTCTCAGCTCGGATTCGAAGGATGGCCAGAGTTTCAGCAAAAGTATAAGGCATTGTTCGGATAATCATCACACGATCCAAAAGATCCAATGGCAAACCATGAGGGGAAATGATATCTTCAGCTCCTCTATCAAAACAGAAATACAAAATATCATTTGTATAACGTCAGACCAACGGGATAATTGCAAAAGCGCATGCCTATTATATAAGATTACAGGCTTTGATGCAGTCAATAAGCATAAAGAGATCTAGATATAAGACTGTATTGGTTAAAATGATCTAGTGCTAGTAGAATGGTAGCCTCTCGTGAGATTCCTTGGAATACTAGAAAAGCCATTCCTTCAAACGTGATGGAGACTAAATAAAAAGCTAGCAAATTAGAAACCCATAGGGCACGCTAAATTACCGGTGAAAACACCAGTTATTGCTGGTAAATACGATATCCAAATATAAATTTTTAATCGGTTTCTTTGCAAAAGACTTGGAAGTAAGAGAAATTAAAAATAATAACAGAATCAACTTGCCTAATTGGACACTTCCCGCGATTTGTAGCGAAAATGACAATCGGGGCAATTGTAGACTCAAGAGCTCGATGCAGATAAGTGAAGCATTCGATGTCAAACATATGAATTTCATCAATGAAAAGAACTCCGGGTACAAGCTCAGCAATTCCTTGGTCGATATATTTATTAACAACTTTATTAATCTCCTTTCGCAGTTTATCTTGAAAAATCAATTAAAAATGTAAGTTATAGTAAATAGAGGATAAAATATTTGCCACTATTCAACATTAAAGAGACAATACAGTAAAATCTTGTTAAACGTACCTGTTATTTCAGTCTTCTTTGGTTTCATCATCTGACCCATCATTGAGACAATATCATGCCCACCCTGGGGCCTTGCGTTTGCGACATCCAGATCATGCAAAGTAACATCCTGAACAACCTCCTTTTTCTTATGTACATCACCTTTGGGAAGTGGAACATATTCATCTGCCTCCAGGTCATACTCAGCGGTGTATACGTCACATCTACCCTGACGCTTAACAGCACCAGAATTCGCTTCAATATAAATTACATCGCCAACTTCAATGTGCTCTTTCTGCATGCTTTCATAAATAGAAGGATCCAGTTTTAATTGCTTGACACCCTTAACCGTTCTCAGGCTGATAATTACGTGACTAATAGTCTTTCCATAACCACCAGTTGGATTTTCAGTTTCAACAGGGTTCAATTCAACAACCTCGCCCTCATAAACTTCTTTTACCTCCTTAATACGTAGACCAATTGCTCGGCGGAAGTTTTCCATAAGAACTTCGGTCTTCTTAATTTCTGACGAAAACACTTCACTACCAACCATTGGACAAAATGGAACACGATTGCCGAGCTCTTGAGAAATAGCCAGGGCGATTGCAGTTTTGCCAGTTGCAGGAGGACCAGCCATTAAAACGGCTCGACCAGCCATCTTCTTGGACCTGATCATTTCAACTATCAAGCCAGCAGCCTCACGTGCGTCCATCTGCCCAACTAACCCAGCCGCATTTTGAATGGGTAGGCCATTTTCATCTAAACCCAACCCACGGATGTGGCTATGGGCTGCAATTCTCTGAGACTTTGTCGTACTTGTTACTTCTTCAATACGCATTCCAAAATGTTTATGGTTTATTTACACGACAAGCGCTGCCTCAGTTACCAAATTTGTGCACAGATCGTTGTCTGAGTCATATGATTGATACATTTAAACACATTCAACTATTTCTTAGAACAAATACCTTCTTATCCTTCGTTCTTTTATATTTCTATTGTCAAAGCATTAAAAGTTTATTTAAAAATTTATTTTTAGTTATTTAAGTCACAGTTCATCGAAATGTTAGCTTCTTATTCTCTCCAGTTTGTTTTAAATTATTAAGAGATATATTGTTCCCAATGACAGAATTATATATAAATGAAATAACGATTGATTGGTTTTAAAATTTTTCGTTTAGGGTCAAAACATGACACGACAGTCTAGATTAATCGATCAGCCTTCATTGTTCATTATTCAAAATACTCAAATGATAGCGTGACTTCTTTAAATTAATTTAAAGAAAATATTCTTTAAATTTAGTTCAGTGTTATCAGTTCAGTTTAAGTCTTTGAAATGCACTGCTAGAAAGTTAGTAAAAGAAGTTTCTTTTTCAATCGTCACTTCATGCAATAATATCCGACTGAATAAAGTGATAATTATCCGTACGGGAATGCTCTTTAAATCTTAATCCTACTGTTGCTGATAAAGTTCTTAAAAATTTTTTTGAGGATTTATTAGGTATTTACGCAGCATATTGATCCAATAAGTCTGAATAAATGACCAATGATCAATGAATTTCATAATAGAACTTTGTTGCATTTATCTTTGAGATCAATATTGAACTTTAAAAATAATCTACCAAAAACAATCATATTTTTTTCAATTGGCAAAGATAAATGATATCCCATCAATATGTGCATCTGCTGGTCAAACTAAATCCATACTTTATTCAGCTGACCGACTTTAATCACTTGCGATCAAATTTAAATTTACATCTTCGCTCAAATAACTTTAAGTTGTTTTTTTGTGATCAATAAACTGCTTTTCACTATCTGGGACATAATTCACTGATGAAAACTAAATTTCATTGCTTCGCTTCATTTCGCTGTGGGGGGGATTAACTTGTTGAATAAGCTCTCATTTAAAGCAAAATATTTGATGGCAGCATCATAGCGTTTAAAACAGAGCCATTAAAGTTAAATTTTAATAAAGATATTATCAAACTATTAATATTTTTGATAGCATGACTAATCAAATGTCTTTCTTGCATTCGAGATTAACTCATAATTATTATTGCGCGATCATTACATTTTAGCTTATTTGATCACCTGAATACCTGTGCTAGTGCCTTTGCTGTAATTACTGACCATAAATATAAAAAATCATTTATTACCTATTCAAGCCAATATCAATTAATTTATTTTGTTAGTAAACTCTTTTTGAGTCACAATATCTGTGCCTCTAATAAAGCGTCACTTTGAAGTTAAAAATGTGCTAGGGTTAAAGAGTGCAGCTTACTCAGAACCGATAGTTTTAGGAATATATTGCAATAAAATTCTAATGTTTTCTAGTCTATTTTATCCCACGAGCGGTCAAGATGTTGAAAACTCAATAAGTCTGCTTGCTTCTTATCAAACATGTGGATAAAGACCAGATATCAATAGTCCATGTGCCTAATGCACACCAACTGAAAAGCTTATTCAAACCTCAATACTTTGCTGAAATTTTTCTCCGTTGCATTAGAATACAATTCCATCGTGTTTTTCAAATGCAAACTATTTGTTTCTTGCTATGGCTCAATACTCCAAATAAAGAGACGAATAGTTATAACAGCTTGGAAAGTAAGCAAAAATTGATTTTGAAATTTAACATAACTGAATGAAATCAAATGATCTTAAAATGTGATTCAGCAAATAAATAGTTCTAGAACTATATGTGACTAATCAAAGTGAAATAGCCATATAGATTAAAATTAATTGAGTTATCTTGTACATGAAATAAACATCTTTTAGTAAATATGCTGCTACTAAAAAAATAGAAATTTAATATGCTCTTAACTTCGCCAGCCACTCGGAAGATATGCTCATCCGAGATATACCTACCTTTAACTCCCATGATACAGGAGAGAGGAAGTAGTCATTATGGAAAGATAAACGCTGTCTCCTATCTTTGCTATACTTTGGCACATTCCTATCTATATGATTTCCTTTAAAATGTAATGGCGATTTGACATTTAGACATGGTTACACCATTCTACCCCCTGAGAAATGACCAACGAAAGTTTGGCTGACCTAGCCAAGGACATCCCGTTGGCCATCGAGATCTTCTCCGTGCTTTGCTGTATGACCTTAAAATCATCCTGAATACACTGAAGCAGCTTCTTAATTAAAAGTTGCTCATGTTATCAAAATTATGTTCCGATATCTTCTTTTCCACGTAGAACATGACATTCCATTTTAATTTATATCAGTTAGATCTTGACAGATAAATGAAACGCGCTCACCAAAATGTCTTGTAGTATTGATTTCATGAATTAGCATTTTAATCTATTTACTTTTGCACAAGTTACCCTTTGAGTAAATCGGTTTCAGGTGACTTTTAAGTACTTAATATTTGTAAAGCCGTTTCAATTACTGGCATAATTGAAGTAAATTTGTTTTGAAAAATGATTAACCATAAAGATCTTAAAAATATAGAGCTTCTCAAAATTATTACCCAAATGCTGGGCCATTAGGAGCGCAGTTTTTAGTTTTCGAGGTTCAAATTTGAATTGCGACTGCTTCAATGGGTGGCAATGAAGAAAAATTAAAGCTTACGAAGTCACTATGCCAATTTGTAGGCAGTTACCCCCATATATAGAAATTTTCAGCACTTGGCGCGGATTTGAGTCCAGTGCATTAGCATCCAGAAATTATGGAAAAGGCTGTATTTCATGAAAATAATTAAAACAAATCGGATACTTATTATTCAACTAATATTTTTCTATCTCAAAATTATCAGAGACCAGAGTAGATGTTATTTACGTATCTTCTGTTTACGCTCAAGTTTCGTTAAGGTTTATTCTACATGTTATTTGAATACCCTACTCATAATTTTGATTAATCGCAACAAGCTTGTTTACTTTCCACGCATTAAATATTTAAGACCACCAAATAGGTGTCGTCATCTATTTCTCATTTTTTGTTTTCCATTGTTGCAAAAAACTCTCTTAACGTTATTTCCAGGCTTTATTTCAGTTTTGACATTGACTTACTAATGGCAGTAGTCTTAGAAGCACAGAAATGGTGCTTGAAGTTGGTGGATTTAATGAGAGACCTATAATTGGTTCATCCTTCAAGGTCATATGACTGCCTTCGCGAAGGGAGTCAGTTACTTAATTTCATTATGGAAGCAAGGTGGAAGTTAGTGACAGTTATTGAATTCCTCTGTGCATGACTAAAATAATTTTACAGTGAAGCTTATCAATTTAATTTCGGACCGTTAATTGACAATATCCAAGACGCTCATAACATTCGCAGGAGTTACACAAATCCATAAACAGAATTGAATTTATTAATTGTTGAGAGATCAAAATACCTTTCCCTTTTTCAATAACAACTTATATCCCATTAATTACTTAATAATCGATAACCTTCTCGTAGTTTTTACCCCCAAGTTTTATGAAAAGTGAGGAAATTGGTCACGTTAACTGAGTACAGATATTAAGTAGACAAAAATCTTGATAATTGGCAATTCAGTTCTGAAAAGAGAATGGAAAAATAAAATAAGCGTGAATAGTTTACAACAGTTGGCATTTAATATAATGTTAATGAGAAAATTCAGGTCACGATAACTTGTGGAGACGTGACGCTACCATGGCTGAACAAGAAAATCTAATACCCACTCAGTCGGACTCGAAGGTGTGGCTATGCTGCAGATCGCGTTAGGGAGCAACTGTGATTGAGAGTTCAGAGACCTTACAGCCAACCACCAATCAATAGTCGCTGCATTGCTTAATAAACCCATAATCGCATTTAAATGGCTGAACTATGTGCCAGAGACACAACCACAATAAACGCTATTCCCCCCCCCCCC